TGTCTCTGTCTCTGTCTCTTTCTCTCTTTTCTCTTTCTCTCCTCTCCCTTCTCTCCTCCTCCTCCTCCTCTCTCTCTCTTCATCTGTCTCTGTTTCTGTCTCTCTGTGTCTGTCTCCCTCTGTCTCTGTGTGTCTCTCTGTCTCTATCTCTTTCTCTCTCTCTCTCCTCCCCCTTCTCTCCTCTTCTCTCTCTCTCTCCCTCTTCCTCTCTCTCTCTCCCTCTCTCTTCCTCTCTCTCTCTCCTGTCTCTCTGTCTCTCTTTGTGTGTCTCTGTCTGTGTTTCTTTTTGTCTCTGTCTCTCTCTGTCCCTGTCTCTTTCTCTCTCTCTCTCTCTTCTCCTCCCTTCCTCCCACCCTACCCCCTCTCTTCTTGTCTGATGCATTACTGTGCTCCAAGGACACTAAGTGCCGTCCTCATGGGGGAAAAGCAGACAGTGTTCTTATAGCTAGAACAAGCTGTCTCTTGCTCCCCTACATCCTGACCCTCCCCCAGCTGGTGCTCCCTTCCCCCACAGGGGGAGACATCCAGAACCTCATCTGCCTGCCCTGCTGAGCTGTGGGCAAAGGGAGAAGAGGCCAGGTTCCAGCAATAGAGCAGGCACAAAAGTTTCTGGAATTTCAAACCTAGAGGGAATCAGGCCCTCCCATTAAGGGCCCCCAGTCCTCAGACTGCTCCCTGCCTTATCCTGGCCCCATGATTCTGTGTAAGGCGGTGGGGGAAGGAATGAGGCAGAGGTAAGAGTAACCTAAAAGACCCCATGAGACTCCCAGGTACTGAGAAGATCCAGTGGAGGACCGGATGTCAGAGGTCCCATCCTCCAGAATCCACTTCCCCTTTGCCGTGTCCTCATCTTGGAGGCCTGAGAACTCTCCTTGGTTTCATCCCCTACAGAGCCAGTCTAGTCCAGAAGCCTCTCCTAATGCAAGTCCAGTATGAGTTTGAAAGCAGAAATCCACGGGAGCTGACAGTGGCCCAGGGTGAGGTGCTGGAGGTGAGAAATAAAAATTGTCAAGAGATGAAGGGGGACAGCATAAGCATTTATTAAGTGCCTACTGTATGGCAGGCACTCTGCCAAGCATATTACAAATATCTCATAACAACCCTGTGAGGTAGGTACTGTTGTTATCCCCATTTTATAGTCGAAGAAACTGAGGCAAACAGAAATTGTGTTTTGTCTAGCATCATACAAGGCTAGTGAGTGTCTGAGGGCATATCTGAACTCGGGTCTTCCTGATTCCAGGCCTAGTGCTCTATCTACTGAGCCACCCTCTACTGTCTCTAATGATGAACCTACTTACGGGGCAGGGGGAGACAGTAGAATGGAGAGGGGCCAGAAGGGACAGGCAGCCTGGAAGGGGGGAAGTCTAAAAGGATTTTTCATGATGAGTGTAAGGAGAGGGGATTATAGGAAAGAAGAAGCAAGAAGGTAGAGATAAAGGAAGAAAAAGAGAAAGGGAAAGTTTACTTGCACTCCTCACAAGGAGACTATTTGGTGACCCCCTCCCATCCCCAAACCAGGTAAGGCAGAGTCCCTGAGCTGAGAATTGCCTTGACTTTCCACAGATTCTGGACCAGAGCAGACAGTGGTGGCTAGTGAAAAATGAAGACGGGCAAAGAGGCTACGTCCCTAACAACATCCTGGAACCCCTCAATTCAGGCCTACAAAGGAACAGGAGCTGGTCTGGCTCCCCAGCTCGGGTAACTGTAAATTCTAACTAGGGTGGATAGAGCAAGCTTCATCCCAGGGCTCCAAAATTCAGAGGGTGTCTGCAGTCCTCAAACCCCTCAGAAACGTGGCTCTTAGAGAGAAGACATAGCTAGAAGCTACTAGAAGGCCCAGGCTTCTTCCCCCAGCACACACCAGGAGTGCCCCTCCTTGACCCCCACCATCCCCAGATCCTCTCACCTTTCACTAGCCGTTGATGCAAAAGTCACCCCTTGTAACTGCGTGGAAGTGCCTGCCTGGTCCCCCTCTCAAACCTCCAGCTCTTTAGGGAAACAGTGAGTGCTAGGTTGCATAGCTGGATGTGGGTCTGAGGCAGAGAGAAGAGACTGTCCTAGATGCACGATGATGCTTTGAGGAAAAGGGAAAACGAGTCAGCCTTGGAACCCCCTGGCTTCTCTGTGCTCTCCTAGGGTCCCATGCTGCGGCCCACCTCTAAACCACAGGAGGTGAGGAATTGGCTGGAGTCAGAGAACTTCTCTAACATGTAAGTGCCAGCCCCAGGGTTTGGGGGAAGGGAGGGAAGGGGGGTGCCCTAAGAAGGGAGATCTGGGGAATCCCACTCCTCTCAGATACTTTGATCGACAAAGTACCACCACCACCACCCATCCCCACTCATTCAACAGGCATTTATTAAGTGGCTTCCATATTCAGCGCACTTTACTAGGCTAGGGAGCTACAAATATTACAAAAGGTATAGTCCCTGCCTCATGTGATAAGAAATCTATAATAAAAATACATTAGAAATATATAGATGTGCTGTGGGATATCTAGGGGGAAAGGTGAATTAGGGTAAGGATTAGGGAAGGCCTTTGTGACGTAGGTGGCATTTGGTTTAGGATTTAAAGAATGAATAGGAATTTAACTGAAGTAAAGGGAAAGAAAGATGTTCCCCCTCAGGCCAGAATTATGTCATCTCCAAGATCTCAGTCACCACAACTGTCTGTTCCCCCAAGCATATCTATGAAGCTAGAACTAAGGCAGACCAACAAGACTTTTGTCTCAGGGCGCTGAATTTAGTGGGTGCTAACAGCACTTCTGTAGTGTAGAGCAACTCAGACTACAAAGTTTAGCACCTAGTGAACAAGAGTAATTAGTCAAAACAGGAAGCTACAAAATGGATAAGGTTTCTTCCCCAGTTTCCACTATGCAGTCTCCCACTCCCCTACACCAATATCCTAGTCTTTCCTTCCCCAGAGCTTGTCCTGGAATCAATACAATAGTCCCGATTACTGGCTATGACCTTCTGTCTCTCATAGCACCGTTAAGACCTTGGGAATACTAACAGGAAGTCAACTCCTGCACATGCAACCCCGGGAGCTGTGGCTCGTGTGTCCAGAGGATGCCCCCCGAATCCTGGAACGGCTAGAGGAAGTGAAGATGATACTAGGGGTAAGGCTGGCATAGGCCCCTGCTTTCTGAATGTGTGTCTCTGTTGAATATTGGGAGTAACGGGGGAGGGGATAAAGGGACCAGTAGCACTTGAGTGACTACAGGAGTTTGGGGGTACAGCCACTGATTCTGACAAGAAGGCCCATGGTGCCAGTTGCTCTGGGCATGTGAGTAGTTACTCCCAAATCTATGGTTACTAAATCTACATTTCCTTGTCCCTTTACATCCTGAACCCCATCCTTTTCTTTCCCCAGATGGGTCCTTAGGCTTCACCCAGAACAGCCAAGGATAGAGAATTAAATCCCTGGTTTCCTCAAGCAAGGCAACAGATTGGATGCTCCCAGCAGTCCTATGTCTTTGGACACCCCACCCACCCACATTTGGTGCCTCATTCTAAGCTTTCTAAACCCTAGTTCCTATTCCAGGACCCCACTATCTGCCAAACTCCATGTCCAGGCCGACACCACTTTTTTCTGAGGTGAAATGGGAATATGGGCAGTGGATGGGGTGGGGGGGAAAGGGAGGCTGAAACATAAGGTTACCAGGATGATGCTTGTGCTACCCATTCATGCCTGTCTGGAGCGATCCCTAGATCCTGAGTATTTATTATACTTCTTCCTCTCTCCAATAAACCAACGCCTGTGACCAAACACCCTATCTTTGTATACTTTCACCCAACTTTTAAGTGAAGACCTTAAGTGAATAATAATAATTCAGGAAATGTAAATTAAAACAATTCTGAGGTTTCACCTCACATCCATCAGATTTGCAAAGTTGTTAAAAAAAAAAAAGAAAATGATAAACACTTTAGGGATTGTGGGAAAACAGGTACCTTAATGCACTGTTGGTAGAGATGTGAACTGGTCAAGCCATTGTGGAAAGCAATTTGGAACTATGTCCCAAAAGGTGTATGTGTGTGTATATGTATATCCCCTTTGACCTATCAATACCACTACTAGGTCTCTACCCCAAAGAGATCTAAGAAAGGGGGAAAGGAGACATATCTACAAAGATATTCATAGCAACACTTTTTGTGGTGGCAAAGGATTTGAAACTGAAGGGTGTCCACAAATGGGGAAGTGACTAAACAAGTTATGATATATGAATGCGATGGAATACATTGTGCTATAAGAAACTATGAAGGCAATGGTTTCAGAAACACTTGGGAAGACTTGTATGAACTGATACAGAGTGAAGTGAGAAGAACCAAGAGAATGATTTCTATGATATCAACAATATAAAGACAAACAACTTTGAAAGACTTGAGAACTCTGATCACCACAATGACCAACCATAATTCAGAAGATTCATGATAAAACAACCTCCTGTTAGATGGACTCAGATGGTAGATTGAGACATTTTTCTGGACACGGCCAATGTAGAATTTGTTTGCTTAACTAAACGCATTTGTAACAGGAGATTTTGCTTTTCATGCTTTCTCAATTTAGGGTAGGGATGAGGGGAAGGGAGAGAAAGTAGATCTTCATTTGAAAATAAAAGAAAATTTAATTATGTTTAAAAGATCTTAAATAAAGAGGAATATATTGCCTCTGGAGGGAGCCCATTCCACTTTATGAATGGGTCTAATGTTAGGAAGTTTTTCCTGACTTCAAGGTTCAATTCAATATTTCACAACTCCTACCCACTGCTCCTTATTATGCATTTCACAGCTACCCCCAAACACAGGAGACCCTCAGCCCCAAGCCATGGCAGATCCAGTTCCTAACCCCACCTAGCCTCCTACTTCTCAGGCCCATACTCTTTCCCCTACACCATTTCAGTTTCCCAGCTCGAGTGGAGAAGTCTAGCCAATCTGGAAAAACCACATACATGCCACTTACTCTTTCTTTCTTACAAGTGGGTCAACAAGAGCAAAGGTGGTTTTAATGCAGAATATTAAAAGGCAGGAATCTATGGTCAACAAACAAAAACCGCCAACTAGAAGATTAAAAAGCTCAGCACACGTCTGGGTATAAAAAGGACACAGAAGTATGAGCAGCAATACGGGAAATTTGCCGAGATCCTAGGGAAGGCTCTTGTGTATTTTTCAATTTCATCTGTTCAAAATATAAACATGTATTGAGCCCCTCATAAATTAAGCTGAGGAGATAGCAACTTTAGAGTACAGAGGGCATAATCCTTGCCCTCAGGAAGCTTACAATCCAATAGAAGGATAAAAGATTAAAAAAAATTCAACAGATACAACATCATAAGACTCATTACATAAGGGTGTCTGAGAGGAAAGAGCGCTATCAAAAATAAACTGATTGAGACTTCGAAGATCTATGAGTTTCTTGAACTACAAATTCATTATAAATCTACAAGAGGGTGTGGCAGCCAAAAACACCTACCATCATCCTAGGCAGCATTAAGAGAAAGGGAGCTTCCAGGAATCAGGAGGTGCTGGTTCCTCAGTCCTCTGCCCTGGTCAACATAATGAGAGCATTATGTTCCGTTCTAGGCACCCCATTTGATCACGGGCATTGACAGGCTGGAGGGTAGGTTACAATGGCATCCACACGATGTCCAACGATTTAGAGAAAGGCCCCCAGCTCTTGATGAGGTCATAAGCTCCCCGATGAATGTGTATGTCTATGCTAATGATTCTTAGGTCTATTTTTTCAGCCCTGACCTCCAATCTTCACACTCCCAGCTGCCTATGGGACGCAGATGTCTCATAGTTAACAAAGTCAATGTGTCAAAAATTTGTTATCTTTCCCCAAAACTTTTTCTTCTTTCTAACTTTCTAATTACTGTTGGGGGTACCACCATCCTCCCAGTCACTCAGGCTCACAACCTATATGTCAACCTCGACTCCTTACTCTCCTTGGAAACACCCCCTCTTCTCGCCTCTGACGCCAGCCCGGTGCAGATCCTCATCACCTTATCCCCAGACAATTGTAATAGCTGCCTCAAGTCTCTCCCCACTCCAGGCCATCCTTCACTCAGCTACAGTTCATCTTAACTAAAGCTCATCTGACCTTATTACTACCATATTCAATAAATTCCAGCAGCTCCCTATTAACTCCAGGATTAAATGTAAAATCCTCTGCCTGGCTTTTAAAGCCCTTTATAACCTATCCCCTTCCTACTTTCTGGTTTTCTTAGATATTATTCCCTTCCACCTACTCTCTAATCCAATGATGCTGGCTGTCGTTGAACTAGACGCTCCACCTCTCCACTCTGGGCATTTTCATTGGTCACTCTTCCATGCCTGGAGCTCTCTCTCTCCTCATCTCAACTCCTGGCCTACCTGGCTTCCTTGGGTCTCCGCTAAAACTCCACCTTCTGCAAGAAGCCTTCCCCAATTCCTCTTAATGCTGGCGTGTTCCAGCTGAGTTATCTCTAATTTATCTTGTATAGATATTGTTTATGCATATTTATTTGCACAGTGACTCTCCCCTTAGATGGTGAGCTACTTGAGGGTTAGGACTGTTTTTGTCTCTCTTTTATATACCCAGCATTTGGCAGACTGTCTGACACACAGCAGGCACTTAATACATATTTATTGACTCTACTTGCTTTCTCGATGAGTAGACGCCCGGTGGAGGGTTTACAGAAGGATGTGAATAAGTATCAGGAAAGATGAGAAGGCGCCTGTAAGGCGTGCCCTGTTGGAGGGAACAAATCAGTGAGATCACAGATCCGAGTTTCAGAATACATAAACAGGAACGTCCAAGACATAATCAGACACGTAGGTCATTTTAGAGAGTTGTTTTCAAGGCAAATGGAAGGCTCCTAATTCTACATATTTTTTTCATTTTTGCTTTTTTGCACAGACTTTTTCCATATATCTGCACAGTCTTCCTACCAGTCATTCTTTAACAATTGGTAGATAGACAGCATGATATCAATCCATCAATCCATGAGCATTTTTTAAGCATCTAGCTAGGTGGCATAACAGATTTAAGAGGGCCAGACTTGGAGTCAGGAAGACTTGAATTCAAATCCAGCCTGGAACATTTACTAGTTGTGTGACCCTGGGCAAGTCACTTAACCTCTTAGCCTCAGTTTCCTCATCTGTAAAATGGGTACAATGATAGCACTTACTTCCCAGAGTCGGAAACGCAGACAGAAGTGAAAAAGTCCCTGGCCTCAAGAAGTTTATAGTCTACCAGGGAAGGCAAGCTGTACATACAAGGTACCCCAAAAGTCTCAGGGAAGTTTTAAGCTTTGATAGATTTAATAGTTTTAATACTTTAAAATGCACTGACTTTCAGAATGCTCTGTGTAATTGTGTGTGTGTGTGTGAGTGTATATCCTGAGTGCAACATATATATTATATCTATATATAAAACCCAAGTATAACCTGCATATGTGTATGTGTTTATATATATATAAATACACGCGTATATTTATACATTTAAACACATATTTTATACATTTAAACATATATATTTATGTGCATTGTATATAAAACATAGGTATAATCTGTATGTGTTATATGTATGCATGTAAGTGTGTATAACCTCTCTGTGTGAGATATAGATAAATAGATAGATATACACATACATATATCTGTGTATCACAAGATGGCGCTGTTCAGCAAGGTTTAGGAAGGAGGTCAGGGTCAAAAGCTTTTACTCAAAGTCCAAACTGCCTCATCTTACTCTCCCCTCTCCCCTTTTTTGAGTCCCCCAGGTCCCCCAAGGTTTGCAGAATGTGTCCTCCTTCAATTACAATCAAAAGAAATGAGAAAGACCTACTAGAGGTCAAACAAAAACCAGATTCGGTTTCAATTCCTCTCATTTTTACCGTTAAATAATAAATTCTGCTTTAAAAAATGTCTTGTTAAATCTGCTCCCAGTTATAGAAAGATTTTCGACCATCAGCCGGGGATTGGGACCCCAGCCCAAAACTAGAAAGCTTTCTAGGTGGTTTCCCGGATTACCAGAACTATCTCCCCACACCACTAACAAATGCTCCGAAGGAAATATACATGTTGGCGTTGATCATAGATGCTAATGAGAGAAAAAAACAGGTTAAATTCTTTAAAACTTAATAGCAGAGTTAAGGAACCCACTTAGAAACAGACAGCAGCCTCATCCAGCTGAAGTGGGGAAAGGGGTGGAGAAAACAGTTCAGTCCCTACCCATCGCCCTGCAGGCGTCTGAATTCAGCCGCCACGGCAAGCTGCTGCCATCCATC